ACATATATAAATACATATGTGTGTGTGTGTGCCTTTATTCATATGTTTGTGTATTGGAAAAATATAGAGGCCACATAATCCACATAATCATTGTCATCAACGTCGTCTTTTATGGTGGCCAATGGGCAGGGTGGCTAATAAATTGGACAGACATCGAGAAACTAAAACCCCACTGAAGTGGAAAAGCCACAAAAATTATGAGGAAATTACTTTGGTTAATAACAAATGAATAGCAAAGTATATAAATTTTGCTGTACTTACTTCGTACAAAGGAAGAGGAGGTGGAGGAGTAACTTTTCGTATTCATATTTTAATCACGAACAAATTTAGCACTCAATCGTTGGTATGTGTTAATTTCAAGAGGTAATAAAATATTTATTTTTTTAGGAGGGTACTAAAGGGCACAACTTTCTGGATTAAATTAATGCCATGGAGTTGTGCATTTTGTATCCAACACATATAAAAATATGTTTGCGTATATGATGAGTACATCATATATTCTAAACGGAAATTATTATGATCAACGAAGAAGCTATTAGGATAACGAGTTTCGTGAATATTTAAAAGCCATCACATATTTATACCAAGATGTGGGAGCCATTTTCATATCGAATAATTCTAAGTTCATATCTTTGTATATTAAATTTGGAAAAGGTTTACATCGAATTTTGTATTCAATGGGGGGTCTTCGATAAAGGATTAAAATACTGTTATAGATCGATATATCTATGTAAGTAACACAAAATGCTAGTCAGTCTGAAAAAGTTATGTTGTAGGATATAAAAATCCCTGGTTCTTGAACATGAAACCATTGAAAAGTCTTTTTGTAAAAATCTACGACAAAAAACTATTGTATTTTTTAAAAATGTCATAATTTTATTGAAGAAAAAATATTGGAAATTATTATTAAAAAATATATGAATCTTAGACCGAAAAATATTGACAAATTTTTAAACAAATTCACTAGAATTAAAATTCCCTTAGAATTAAAATTCACAATTCTTAAAGTAGAAATATTTAAATATATATTTTTTTTTTAATGTCATAATTCTTGGAGAGGATAACATTGAAAAGCATTTTTTAGAAATTTTCACAACTATTTAACAAAAAAAATCAACGAATCTTAGACAGAAAACTACTTTTAAGAAATCAACGATTATATAAATAATAAAATATCTTTGAAAAATATACAATTATACACCAAATCCGAGTCAAAGTCTGAGATATAAAAATTCCGGTTGGAGTCAAACTTGTAGCGAGCTGTAGCGTGATGAATTTCTTGCTTGTGACCCTGAAGTGCTTCATGAAATCTATTCATCTACGTGGACATTATGTGTATGTTATTTTTGAGATAAAAAATCCGCAATCACAAGAAATGAGGATTATTTGTCGAATATTTCATCCTTCGATTTCCATATCCCCTTCTTCATTCGGTTCAGGAACCGGGAGAAAAAAAATAACACAATAAGATATTTTTCTACATCAACAATTTCTAATCATCGACAAAAGCTATAGTATCCATTACGAACTTCAAATACCAAATTTGAAAAAATTTCGGTGAATAATGTCGCTAAAATCATCAAAATACCGAATATATGGATGTACCGTTATACGGAGGATATACGAAAACGTGAACTAAAATACGAACTTTAAATACGAAATTTGTTACAATTCCAGCGAATAATGACGCACAAATTATAAAAATAGCGAGTATCGGGAGGTACCCCTATATGGGAATATACGAAAACGTGAACCTACATACAATTTTTTTTGTCATAGGCTGTAGTACCCATTACGGATTTTAAATATAAAATTTGAAATAACTCCGGTAAACCATGTCGAAAAATATGAAAATAAAAAAAATGAAAATACCATACCAATCCAGAATATACAGGATGAGATGAAAAAACTGCAACCAAATTCAGACTGCTGTCATTTCTTAGCCACTCGTCCGACAGCTGTTAAAATTATTCCACTGACAGGTCATTATATTGTTTAAAAGGGTACAAAAGCATTTTGGTGAGAATTTTACAAAAAAAAAGGTATTCGTGATGAAATTCAAGCGTGATAGTGTGATTTCTTTATATTTGACTGGAAATCCACAAGTGGTTATCGTTAAAGCACTCCAGCACTTAAATGCGATACTGGTAGCGTAGCCCGACGTCAAGGAAGTGGACGGAAGAAATCAGCAACATCAGCGGAAATGGTTCGAAAAGTAAAAAAAGACTTGATCGAAACCCGCGTCGCATTGGCCGAAATATGGCTCGTAGGCTGAACATATCGCAATATTTCATTCGGTAAACATTGAAACATGAGCTCGAGGTAAAGCCATTGAAATTTCAAAAAGTGCAAGAACTTACACCGCAACAGAAAGAAAATAGACTCAAAAGAGCTAAAGAGTTGCTTCGCTTGACCGAAAGCTGTGAACTGTCGAAATTGATTTGGTTTGGTTCTCCAATGAGATAACATTCGTTGTCTAGTAGTTTGTAAACAAACAAAATTATCGTGTTTACTTGTCAAAGAGGTCAGCTGAAAATGCGCACCTTCGATTGGCCACCAGAACTTTAGCGCCAGTCATGGTGATGGTTTGGGTCGCCATAACAGCCGATGGTCGCTCTCCGCTCATATTACTCGACCGTGGCATCAGAATAAATGCCGAATATTATTGCGAAAATATTCGGGTATGTGAATTAAAGCCTTGGGCACGTAAACATTTTGGCCGCAGACCTTGGACAATCCAACAGGACTCGTCACCATCGCACTCAGCACCACCCAAGAATGGTTACAAAAAGAGGTTACCTGCTTCACTTCGAGCGCTCAATGGCCACCAAAATCTCCGGATAGCTGTCCGTTGGACTATTGTGTCTGGAGTATTTTGAAAAGCAAGGTTGGTACTAAAAAATACCAAAGTGTCGATCACCTCAAGCAAGCGCTTCGCCGGGAATGACCCAAAATACCGCAGAGCCACGTTCGGGCAGCGTGTGTCATTTCATTTTATGAAGGCGATAATTCGTGCCAAAGGTGACCAATTCGAACAAATCTTAACTTATTCTAAAATTTATTTCCGACATTTTTGCTCTCATCATTAAAATTAAAAAAAATAAATAAAAATTTTGGCGTTTGACTTTGTTGCAGTTTTTCATCTCACCCTGTATACCGGACCGAGATTCGTCAAATTGAAAAAATCGGTTGAATATGAAAAAAATCTATCCAGTTTTGGTTGATATTACATATATGGTGAGCAATAACGGTAAAAGTTGGTTCACAATAAAACTGAAATCGGATAAAGACATATATAGAAGCTATATCCAAATCTGAATCGATCTTCACAACACTTTAGGCACTTATTTCTGCGCTGTATCTGATATCTGATACCAAAAATCATTCCTGTAGAGTGCATATTACGAACACCAAATCGAATGAAACATATATATGGGAGCTATAACTCTATCTGAACCGATTTTCACCAAATTTTATGTGCTACTTCCAGACTGAATTCGGTCGAATGTGCCAAAATGCAGGTCATTTCGACTGATATTGGCCATTTGGTGCACAAATAACCCGAAATCGGTTGAAGATTTATATGGGAGCTATATCTTAATTTGAACCAATTCTCACCAATTTCAATAGGCTTCGTCCTTGGATCAAAAAAATTTTGGTTGGAAAATTCATCTAATTCGGATAATAAATGCGGCCTACAATTATTTCACAAAAGTACATTTTCCATGTTACAAGCAAATTCACAAGGACATAATACCCTTACCACTATGTAGTGTAGGGTATCAATATTTAAAAAGGACTAAATCCATTTTATTCATTATCGGACCAGGCCTTAGTCTGAAGTAATGAAGTGATTTCAATGCTTGGAATTTTTCTCTAGATCTAGCTCAAATAGAAGTATTTAAATGTCCAAATTTTTAAGAAAAACTTTGATTTATTTCATATTTTATTGTTTTTTATGATTATTAAACTTTTTGAACCTTTATGTAGGATATACCACAAGAAGTGGGCCGATCTTCACCCCCTAACCTAGGCCTAATAGAAATATTGGAAAATACCATGTTTGAACGTAATCTCTTTTTCTCTTTTCTCTCTGTGAAATATATATTTTTAACATTTTTGTCAATTTTTAACATTTATAGAGGTGCAAGAAGGGAAAAGAGTATACCTGTATTACCCATCTTGGAGCTTAATCTATGTTTGATACAAATATTAGGATGTGTCAAGTTTGAACCGAATCAGATACTCATTTACAAAGTTATCGCGAACACCAATCAGTCACACATTCTTCCATGTTTACCCTGTTAAATGATATGTCCCCTCCTTAGTCTAAGGATGCGGGCTAAGGATATAATAAAACAAGAATAATAAGAAATTCATATTTTTTTATTGTAAAATATATTCATATTTGCTCATCTGGCTGGTGCGTACGATAACTCTCTAAGAGAATGTCCGATGTCATTTAAACTTAATACATCGTAATATTATTATCAAATTTAGATCGAGTTTGGAGATGGACGATACTGGTCAACTCCTTCTGGTACATCCCCTTCAAAAGGTACAGAAAATAATTAACTTCATAGAATAAGAACGGATCATGCGATAATGTTCAAACTTTAACTTGCATCAGTAAAAGGTCAGGTGGGGAAAGTGGACAACATCGGTTCACACCCCCATAAAGAGCCAACGTTTTGAATAACCTTCATTCTTTGAAAATGTCAAATATGAATCTGATTGTTCGATTGGAAATCGCTACATATTTCGTTGTTCTCTTTTAGCTACAAATTGTGACAAAGCAAATTAATGGCAAGTTTCGTAAATGGGAATCGATTCTCACAAAATTTCGGCAACTTGCCTCTCAGTCAGTTTTAGAAAAAAAAAATAATAAAAAATCGTCTGTTTTGCATAATTTTCTTAAATACAAGTAACATCTACTTCCAACTTTCCTTATTTAAAATCCCACACCTACTCCTTGCAAACTTTCCACAATTTCAACTTACCTTAATCCCGGGCTTATTCACTTTACATTCCGCACTCAGTGTATCTGAAAAAAAAGAAGAATGCGGATAACATCAGCATTTAATTATTTAAGAATGTGTAAATATTTTAAAGTCCCCACTCCCGAACAGTACTTGCCAAACTAAGCTCTTCAGCTATGTATTCTTCTAATTTCCTGTATTTTCACAAAGTTTTCTTATTAAAAATAGTCAAGAAGAACAACAAAAAAGGAAGATTAAATATTTTCCGAGAATAAATTCCTGTCATCCGCACGCACACACACACTCATTCACCTCCACAAAAAGACATTCAGGAAAAAAACTCATGTTGCTTAGTTGACAACAACAATGCCAAGAACAACAATAGTTTCATAGAATAATTTATAATGGTCTGTGATGTAAATAGATATAATAAAATGGGAATTCATTCGAACTTTTTAATTGAGATCAATTTTTTTATTTTTTTGCAGGAAAAACAGAGAGAAAGAGAGAATTGGAACTTTTGAAAACTGATACACATTTACAAGGACCAAAGACAAGCAATTCGTGTTAAATGTTTGGGTGTGTCTGCCTGTTTATGAAGCTTATGGCCCAACACCCAGCCACACAACCCAGAAAAGCAAAAACAAAACCAGTAAAGAAAGTCTTAAAGTCGGGCGGGGCCGACTTTATGATACCCTACACCACTTTGATAATTAAGTAGAGCTCCACATAACAATTAAAAATTTTTATGGGAGAATTCATATACGCTATGATTATAATTATAATTAAAAGTTCAAAGGACTAAATATGCCGAAGCATTTGTATCTTTCAAATTCGTAATTGTATTGCCCATTTGGTGCACAATTAATTTGAAATCGGATAAAGATATATATGGGAGCTATATCCAAATCTGAACCGATCTCGATAAAATTTGGCAAAGATATTTCTGAGTTGTATTTGATATATCGTTGTTACGGAGTGCATATTACGTTTGTGGGTAACAAATATAACAAATCGGATGAATAATATATATGGAAGCTATAGTTATATCTGAACCGATCTTCACCAAATTGGAAATACCAGCTTCTAGACTCAATTCGGTCGTAAGTGCCAAATTCCATCCCATTTGGACAAATATTAGACGTTTGGTGCACAATAAAAAGTAAATCGGACGAAGTTATATATGGGAGCTATATCCAAATCTGAACCGATCTCGATAAAATTTTTCAAATGTATTTCTGAGCTGTATTTGATATATTTCCCCAAATATTGTTGTTGCATAGTGCATATTACGGCGGCGGTAGACAAAAATAACAAATCGGATGAACAATATATATGGGAGCTATACCTATATCTGAACCGATTTCGATCAAATTTGGCATACATATTTTCATACATATAATTTGGGTATATATGCAAAATTCCATACAATTCGGGCTGATATTACACGTTTGGTGCACAATAAAAGGCAAATCGGACGAAGATATATATGGGAGCTATATCTAAATTTTGACCGATTATCTCCGATTTCAATAGGGTTCTTCCTTGGGCCAAACAAAAGATCTTTGCAAAATTTCATCTGGATCGGGCAATAAATGCGACCTGTACTTTGTTTACAAAAATACATGGACAGACGGACAGACGGACGGACGGACATGCATAAATCGACTCAGAATGTGATTCTATGCAGATCATCAGAACTATGGGTCTATCTCGTTTCCTTCTGCCTGTTACAAACAAATGCACAAAGACATAATACCCTGACCACCTTGTGGTGTAGGGTATAAAAAGCACATAATACCAGCAGAGCTGTGAATGTATGTGTGTGTGTGCATGGAATGATAACCGAATGACACTCTTGGACATTATAAAGGACATTTAATAGCTGCTCTTAACAATATTGACAGACTGCAGTTCGGATGCTGTTGATGCTGGCGTATGTTTGATTGCATTGTAAACATGTGTGAGTGTGTTTGTATATGTCTGTGGTATATGTTGGCTGGCTGCTGGCAAAAGATAACAACGATGCTCGTCCGATACTCATCGTCATGCAGATAATCAAAATTATGCAGATGATAATAATGATGAGGATGGCGATGCTGCTTAAGTTGATTATGTTATAAAAATAAATTCACTCCATAACATTTATTATGGGATGGTGTATTTTTCTCGGGTTCCATTTCGCGCCCTCTCTCCCTTTATAGATTTTTATAGTTCGCTTCAAGCTGCCGGAATGAATGGTAATGGTCTGATGTTGTTTTTGTTATTGCATTTATCTGTGCTTGTGTTTCTTGCTTTTTTTTTTTGAATCCTTTCGTTCTGCTGTTTTTTTATATTCTGACAAATATGACAGTGTAAGACGATAACCCCTTGGGTGTCATATATTCAAATATTTGCCCTTATTCTTAAGCATACCAGCAGCAATAACACCAGTAGATATACATCTTGATAAAGAGGATGAAATCTAAAGGGATGCTATTTAAAAGACAGGGGGAGAGAGAGAGAGTGATAATTCTGCTGCAGGAAATCCGCACAGTGACTCACAGCAATAAATGAAAATGGGGAGTTTAAGGCAAATGAAAAAAAAAATGGTAAAATATTAAAGGACTATTTTGTCATAAAATTTATTGTGAAAATAAAGTTGCAAGTAGTGCGGAAATCTGACAACTAATAGATGGCAAGGAAAAAGGATAATTAAAAATCAGAAAATAAAAGAATTAGAATGGGGATAAAAAGGCAATGTCACCATTGGATATTTGGTAATGGAAGGGAATAAGAGGCTATAAATGGATCTCCCTGGGGAAGGTACCAAAGTAGTAGGTCTATATTATCCGACGAAGTGGGTCAAATATTGGCATAATTCTAATATAAATTTTACTAAATCGACTAATACCTTCACTCTATATGAGATATCTTATAATATAGTGCTGAAATGTGTGTGAGGTACCAGATATAGTGGACCGAATTATTTCATTCCATCTAATACTGATAAAAAATATTGGGATGTGCAAAATTGAAAGAGAATTTAATATTTATTTCCAATTTTGTGCGCATAATTTTTGATCAAAATCGTAACCTCTGTTGGTGGGAGGTACCAAAAGGAGTGGGCCGATAATTCTATATTCACATCAGATCTCTAGCTGAGAGAAATATTCGGATATGTCAAGTTGGAAAGAATCGCTGACTTGTTTCGGAAGTTATTGCAAATTTTGACCCAGGGGGAGGGGGGTTGTGAGGTACAAGAATGATGTATCCCCTCTTCACGTCAGATCTTTCGTTAGTATAAATATTGGAACGTGTGAACTATTGGAAAGAATCCGATTCTCCGATTCCGAATCCGAATTCCGATTGAAAATGTTGAAATCTTCCCGGAGGAGGTACCAGAAGGTGTGAACCAATATATCCCATAATTACACCAGATTTTGTGTTAAAAAAATGTTGGGATATGTGAAATTTGAAAAGAATCGGATCATAATTTCGTGTTTTATTAGAGATAAAATTATTCAAAATTCTGAGTCTTTTTGGGGGAGGTACCAAAAATGGTGGTCCAGCCTATTCCATCTTTATGCAAGACCTAGGGTTATTAGAAATATTGAGATATTCGATATTTGCAGATAATTGGACTCTCATTTCGCATCTTATAAGCGTTGACATTACTCAAATGTTAATCCTTTGCGAGGGAGGTACTAAAAGGTGCAGGCTGATATTGTCCATACATGGGAGGTACCAGATGGAGTGAACCGATATTGCCCATCTCCTAACTCCAACTAAGTTTAGTAGCAATATTACGATGTACCAACTTTAAATCAAATCGGATTCCCCCTTTGAGAGTTAATGTGCGTACAAGCCAGTCAGACAAATATATGTTGGATCGACTCCAAATGCACTGAAACGGATTTGGTTCAAAGAGACCTGGGGTCTTAAACCGTTATTTCCATGAATCACTTTTGGCAGTATCAATGATATATTCCATCCTGTAGCCATGAGGCTGAGGGTATAGAAATTAAGTTCGGCCAGACCGAACTTTTAATTTGTTCCCCCATCAGTCCTGTTATATGGGTACTATAGTATAATGTAGACCTATACAGACAATGTTCTACAACCAGAGTTAGAACTCGTCACAAACTCTTAATACCAAATTTGGAACAATTCCGTGAAAAATGAGGCTAAGCTAATCAAAATATTGAATATCGGGTGATATCATTTTCACAAAGAAACATCCGAGACACAGTAGAAATTATTACGACAAATTTCAAAGCTCAACAACAAATACAGGTAAGATAAAAAAACTGCAACAAAATCAAACGACACAATTTTGAATTTTTTTTTTAAATATTGAATGAAAGCAAAAAATGTCGGAAAAAGAATCAAATTTTAGAATAAATTTAGATTTGTTCGAATTGGTCACCTTTGGTCTTCAAACGGCCAATGAAACCGTCACACGCTGCCCGAATGATGCTCTGCGGTATTTTTGCCCATTTCCGGCGAAGCGCTTGCTTGAGGTGATCGACACTTTGATATGTTTGCTTTCCAAATTACTCCAGAAAAAATAGTCCAACGGATTGATATCCGGAAATTTTGGTGGCCATTGTGAGCTGGAAATGAAGTGAGGAACCTCATTTTGTAACCATTCTTGGGTGGCGCGTGCTAAGTGCGATGGTGCTGAGCCCTGTTCGAATGTCACGGTAGACGGCTAAAATGTTTGCGTGCCCAAGGCTTTAATAAACCCTCCAGAATATTCGACGTTTATTCTGATGCCACGGTCCATTTATATGTGTGGAGAGCGACCATCGTCTGTTATGGCGGCCCATACCATCACTATGGCCGGCTCTTGAGTTCTGGTGGCCAACCAAGGTGCACATTTTCAGGTGACCTCTTTAACAGAAAACACGATAATTTTGTTTGTTTACAAACTGCTGGATAACGCGTGTATTCTCATCGGAGAAACCCAAATTCGGTAGTTCACCACTTTCGGCAGCTCTTTAGCTCTTCTGAGCTCTTAGATCTCTTTCTTTCTGTTGCGGTGTAAATTCTTGCACTTTTGGGAATTTCAATGGCTTTACCC